TTAAATGCCATTTTTCCTAAATGCGTTTAGACTTACGGGTAGGACACTTGAGATTGCATTTTCATCGTGATACTGTGTGATAATTGTAGCAAAATGCAGTGTGAATTTCAAAATGCATTCGGAGCCAAATGTGCAGCAAAATGGTGATTTAAATGTCTTTTGTTTTTCTTCAATTCATTGGCACTTACACTTAAGACGTGTACTTTCATTAAGTACCCCGTGATAATGTAGTTTAAGTCCTAATGGCCCTGTCCCAAATGGAACACTTCATGTGCACTTGCGGTCTTACGGACTTACAATGTTTGCGTGTCCGTTAAGTCCACAAGACCGTAGGGTGTCCCATTTGTCATTTTAGCATTCAGAAGGGTGCTCGTGAGCACCCCCTTTGCGGCTGTAATGCGCCCTCAATACGCACTTCTGCCGAGCGGGAGCCAAATGTGCAGCAAAATGGTGATTTAAATGTCTTTTGTTTTTCTTCAATTCATTGGCACTTACACTTAAGATGTGTACTTTCATTAAGTACCCCGTGATAATGTAGTTTAAGTCCTAATGGCCCTGTCCCAAATGGAACACTTCATGTGCACTTGCGGTCTTACGGACTTACAATGTTTGCGTGTCCGTTAAGTCCACAAGACCGTAGGGTGTCCCATTTGTCATTTTAGCATTCAGAAGGGTGCTCGTGAGCACCCCCTTTGCGGCTGTAATGCGCCCTCAATACGCACTTCTGCCGAGCGAGCTTCGCAGCAGACTTCTACCCGACAGTCAAAGCGGTATTACGTCACGAAAGTGCAAACTCCGAGGAAGACCGCGAGGGTTTAGGGTGCCATTTGGGACAGGGCCAAATGTGGATTTGAAAATGCATTCCGAGCCGATCACGCCCCCAACCTGTCAATCATTATATCAAGGCAGGGCTCGGCAAAAAGACGCACAATAGGTCAATATTCCCCATTAACCAAACGCTTTTCACCTGCCTCAACATCTCTCACTGTTTTACACTCCGATTGATGCCCATAGCCTATTTGCTACCATACTTTATTCTTCTCCTATAAATGATTGCGTGTCTCCCAGCACCTAAGCGTTGCAGGTGCGTCGCACATCTCACTCTGCATGCCGAGTAAGCAAATTCTACACTTGTTTACCACATTACATAAAATTTTATTCCTCTCTTTTAATCCGTAACAGCGTGTGTTCAGTGGCACCGCGATTGATGGCCGTGATTTTTAATATTAAGTTATCTCACTTTGTCTGTGGCATGTTCTGTGACAGCTGCGTCTAGTTCGGACTGGTGAAGTGTCATCTGGGGCAGGCAGGAGTAGCAGCGTTTTCTGTATTTTTTCTGCCTGTGTGACTAAATTTTGTGTGCAGTCGCACTGGCACGACCACCGTGTTGTTCAACTCATAAGCGCTGCCATTTGTGTTGCATATGAGAAACATCAAACGGTAACTCGTTTGAAATGCGCAGCGCTTTGAGTGTAGAGCCTGTTTTTTTTATACTTGCCACGTTAGCAGGTGCTCGCAACAAAAATTATGCGAATATTGAGGAAACAATGGATGGTTTTCACGCTAAAGTAAAAAGTTCTTAAACCAGAGAAGGTGAACATGTTGGTATTCTTGTGGGGAAAAAACCATGCAAGCACTGTCACCGACAGCAAGTTTATTTTTACTTTTCTTTTTCTTTTCATTTTGAAAAGCTTATCTTTGCTGTTTACCTGACGTTATGCTATGGAGGCTCTCTTTTATTTATTTATTTTTATTTGACGACTCAGTGTTTGCTAAACGTTCTGTAATTTATTAGTCAGTATATAATACAGCATGTGGTGTATGCCATGCCTCATCTTATTAGTTTTTGTTAATAAAAGTTTTGTAAGCTAGTTTGTCATTGTATCTTACTGTTTTATTGTTGTTGTGCTTTTTAATTAAAAATAACAATGAATCAATCTTTTGTTTCAGTCTTAAAAAGTGAAAGGTGTGTAGATGTAAGCAAAACAGATAATTATCTTTTATTGTAAAACGTGGCAAGATCGTGAATTCGAAAGTGAAAGCATCTGTGTCTACACTGTGTCTACACCGGACGCGAGCGTCGTGACAAATGACTGTATTGAACCCATTATAATCAGCGATGCTGTCTACACTGGATGCAGCGCGATACGACATGACAACTATCGCATCCGGTGTAGCCACGGTGTAAGATGGCAAGTAAATAAGTGTAGAATTGCACTGTCTGCTTATGTGCATCAATCGGAGTGTAAAACAGTGAGAGATGTTGAGGCAGGTGAAAAGCGTTTGGTTAATGGGGGATATTGACCAATTGTGCGTCTTGTTGCCGAGCCCCGCCTTGATATAATGATTGACAGGTTGGGGGTGTGATCGGCTCGGAATGCATTTTCAAATCCACATTGACTAGTCTACTCTGATCGCAGGGTATTTAATGAAAATGCAATTGAAACATCTTATGTGTAAGTGTCAATGCATTTAAGAAAAATAAAAGACAACTCCTCATTTTGCTGCACATTTGACTCAGAATGCATTTTGAAATTCACACTGCATTTTTCTTCAATTATCGTGCAGTATCACGATGAAAATGCAATCTCAGGTATCCTACCCGTAAGTCTAAACGCATTTAGGAAAAATGGCATTTAAATGATCATTTTGCTACAGTTTTAAATTCTAATCAATTTGGGTAATACCATTTCATTTTAATTTTGCAACTTACAAAGCGTTAAAATGTTTTTAATTTACATATTAAAACTCATGTAGAAAATGGTAAATGTAAATTATATAATTGAATTTTTATTTTGCACTAAATGTTGCGCACATGGTATGGGAAAATTTACATTTAAATACAGAAATACATTGCCATTTTACATATTGCATTGTAATTTTGCATATTACATTTCAAAATGAATTTTGCTACCCATATGCTTCCATAGTACTTGTCTATTTAGTGTGTGTGGCATTGCATTATCTGACAACCATACATAGCTGGGAACTCGCTGTAATGTACAGGTGCATCTCAATAAATTAGAATGTCATGGAAAAGTTCATTTATTTCAGTAATTCAACTCAAATTGTGAAACTCGTGTATTAAATAAATTCAATGCACACAGACTGAAGTAGTTTAAGTCTTTGGTTCTTTTAATTGTGATGATTTTGGCTCACATTTAACAAAAACCCACCAATTCACTATCTCAACAAATTAGAATATGGTGACATGCCAATCAGCTAATCAACTCAAAACACCTGCAAAGGTTTCCTGAGCCTTCAAAATGGTCTCTCAGTTTGTTTCACTAGGCTACACAATCATGGGGAAGACTGCCAATCTGACAGTTGTCCAGAAGACAATCATTGACACCCCTCACAAGGGCCTGCCTTTGTGATGGTGTGTGTGTGTGTGTTTACATTTGTTTTTTGTGCCTGTTGGCATGCCATCGTTTATTTTAAGTGACCACCAGCATGACAAGACTTTTGTAGTTTCAGTCATCATGAATTATAAATAGTGACCTAGTGCTGTGTGTGCTTGATTCGGGTTAAACTTCCCATTAAAGGTTTTTCAAGTTCAAGTAAATTGTTTCAAGTCTAAATTAAATTCAAATCAACCCTTAATGCATGTTATTAAATACTGATCATATTGTAAACAATCCATGCATATGTTTAGTTGTTAATCTTTTGACCTCATAATTCTTAATCAAAATCTTCTGGCGAACATGTCTCTGGTGACATATGCCAGACTTCTCCAATCATTTAGTCCACTTGAAACCCGCCCCTTTCTTATAACTGACTGCATGCAGGCATTCAGATCTGCCTCCATAAATTGACAACCACTGAATATAATCAAGTCCGTCCCCGTCTTATTTGTTTTTCAAATCCATTTAATTCAAATGTACCGAAATTTATTAAGAAAAGATCTGTTGCTACTCCCATTTCATTAACTCATGTTATCATAAGCTGAGTTGGCATTGTCAATTTTTCCTGTTCTTATTGGAATTGATAACCTACATTAAATTGGCTTTAATGTTCACATATGAGAATTACACTACAGAACAAATTTTTCTTGACTGTCAACATGAGTAGGCCTATTTTGCTTATCACTCAGCAAAGATTAAAAAGTTGTTTTTAAACATTTACTTGTTGCAATTTTATGCAATATTTTAACACTTGAACAGGGTTATTATAAAGTTTTAATATTTGAACATGGTTATTGAACTGTGCAAATGATGGGTGGGAATGTAAGTTTACTTTAAAGTTGTAAGTATATAATTTCTGTACCGCTAGTGTCACCAAACAGAATTGTCTTTCATTGTTGAGACAGACATATCATCCTGCCCTAAACATATACCACTGCATATGTCTTGGTAAATCTAATTTGTAATAAAAATTACAACTGCATTTTAAAATGTGATTTGAAAAAAGCTTCAGGTTTGCTGTGCTTGTTTGTAGAGATGCACAATTTGGCCACAAATTTTGTGGTTATATGTATTATTGTTGATGTTATCTGAAAAAGACAGTGAATTATTATTATTAGTAGTAGTTAAAGTAGTGGTAATTATATAAAGAAGTGCTTAATAACAGTTAGTAGGTAATCGAAATTAAAGGTATTTGAGAATTGTGAAATTTGGCTTGTATTGACTGCTGAAATTTGGTACCATGACTACCCTATATAGAATTCATTTTTCAATGAATCGTGCGGCCATATATCTGGCCCAGTTGGGATGCGAATAGCAACTAGTTTGGCGTTATGTTGCTCATCATTCTCAAACTTTTCTGTTCTAGATTCCTAAGCAGCAAAGATGGGTGCATTCCTGGACAAGCCAAAGATGGAGAAACACAATGCCCATGGTGAAGGCAACAGCCTGCACTACGGCCTGAGCAGCATGCAGGGCTGGCGTGTAGAGATGGAGGATGCGCATACTGCTGTCATTGGTCTGCCAAATGGCTTGGAACCCTGGTCGTTCTTTGCTGTTTACGATGGGCATGCAGGATCGCAGGTGGCACGTTACTGCTGCGAGCACCTCCTGGAGCACATCACCAGCAACCCTGACTTCCAGGGTGGAGGCGGAAGAGGAGGTCCAGCCGTGGAGCCCAGCGTGGATAGCGTGAAATCTGGAATCCGTACTGGTTTCCTGCAGATCGACGATCACATGCGGCAGATCTCGGAGAAGAAGCACGGTGGTGCCGACCGCAGTGGCTCGACGGCTGTCGGTGTGATGATCTCACCCCGCCACATCTACTTTATCAACTGCGGAGACTCACGGGGTTTGCTGAGCCGCGGAGGGGCTGTGCACTTCTTCACACAGGACCACAAACCCAGCAACCCCTTGGAGAAGGAGAGGATCCAGAACGCTGGAGGATCTGTGATGATCCAGCGCGTCAATGGGTCCCTGGCAGTGTCCAGGGCTCTGGGGGACTTTGATTATAAGTGTGTGCATGGTAAGGGTCCCACGGAGCAGCTGGTGTCGCCGGAGCCCGAGGTGTATGCTATCGAGCGGTCGGAGGCAGAGGATGAGTTTATTGTTCTTGCTTGTGACGGGATTTGGGATGTGATGGCCAATGAGGAGCTGTGCGATTTTGTTCGTTCACGACTGGAGGTGACTGACGATCTGGAGAGGGTCTGCAATGAAATTGTAGATACCTGTTTGTATAAGGTGAGTGTAAACAGACTTTTACCAGCCAGTCAGATGAATGATTTTGTCTGTTAAAGATACAGTGAAAGGAATCACACTTTGTTGATAGTTTGCTAAGTATTTTATGCAATCAGTTTCCAGTACAGTTCAAAAGTTTGGGGTCAGTAAATTTTTCATTTATTTTTAATCTTTATTCAGCAAGGACGCATTAAATTGACAGTAAAGACTTTCTACAAAAAATGGCAATTTGTCACATAAAAGTATTTCAAATAAATGCTGTCCTTACGAACTTATTGTTCATCAATGCATCCTGAAAAAAAAAACTCAGTTTCCATTAAAATGTTTTCAACATTGATGAAAATTAGAAATGTTTCTTGAGCACCAAATCAGCATATTAGAATGATCATGTGATGCTGAAGACTGGAGTAATTGCGGGTGAAATGTCAGCTTTACCATCACAGGAATAAATAAATACATTAAAATAGAAAACAGTTATTTAAAACTACTGTATTTTAATCAAATAAATGCAGCCTTAGTAAGCATAAGATACTTCTTTCAAAAACAAAAAAATCTTACAGACCTCAAACTTTTGTACCCCTGAAATTAATTGGACTTTTATTGATGCATCTCAGTTTTTATTTTTTTTATTTTAAGATAAGCAAAAATAAGGAAGTTTAATGTGATGCAAACAAATATAATAAGTAATGGAAAATGATTAGATGTTTTTGTTTTTAAATATATATATACGTTTTTAATAGCATTATCTACTTCAGTAGTATACAATGAACATATGTGACCCAGCTGTATTGAACACAAGTGTTTGTTTTTTTTTCATTTCTATACTGAGATGTTCATAACACAATTCTTCTTATTCTAAATCTTATCTCTCGCATTTTCCCACAGTGTTTCATTGATATTAAATTTTGATTTGGTTTAAATTTTGATGAACCACTCCCTTCTTCTGTGTTTGGACAGGGAAGTCGTGACAACATGAGTGTTGTGTTGGTGTGTTTTGTTAGTGCACCGAAGGTTACCCCTGAAGCTGTCAAAAGGGAAGCGGAGCTTGATAAATACCTAGAGAGCCGAGTAGAAGGTAACCTTTACAAGCCTTCTGCTATTAAGTGGAATTAGTAATTCTGCTGGGCCAAACTTGATTGCTCTGAATTGTTGTTGATATAACAGAGATCCTGAAGAGGCAGGGGGATGGAGGTGTGCCCGACCTGGTACATGTGATGCGCACGTTAGCATCTGAGAGCATCCCCAACCTACCACCTGGAGGAGAGCTGGCCAGCAAGTGAGTACCACACAATCTCGCTTTCTCCCTTTACTTCAAGTTCCAAAACCTAGTGATCTGTCCATCCAACATTTTGGGAACCATTGGTGGGTAATTCTCACAGAACCTTTCAATAGCACAATATCATTCAAAAGTTTGGGGTCAGTTAAGACATGAAAGAGACTTGGGTCTGCACCAACATCTCTCTAGTTGCTGTACTTGAAGAATAACATATGAAGTTCCATTTTGCTTTTAATGTGGCAGCTCAGTAAGTTTTGCTACAGAGGTGATGTTTCCTTCACCTTTCTTTCTTCACTCAGAAGATTAAACCGGTCTGTTTTTGTCATAGACGGAGTGTAATTGAAGCAGTATACAACAAACTTAACCCATACAGGAACGAGGATACAGTGAGTACATCAGCCTGACTCTGTGTGTGTGTGTGTGTGTGTGTGTGTGTAAATGCTGGGATGTTTGCTTGCAAGATTTTTTTGTTTTGTTCTAGAATTAAGTTGCATTGCACGATTTTGTTATTTGCCACCTTAAGTGTTCCAGAGTTTTGTTTTTTCATTTGTGCATGTTTCCATCCTATTCCAATTCCATATTATCCCCTCTCATCTGACAGTGCTGGATAGGCTGAACTGTGCTTTGGAAAGAGTTTTGGTTGAGTGCAGGGTGGAGCCCCTCAAATTTGTTGAGCAAACCGATTTAATATTTAAAAGAAAAACTTAAACACTTAATAATTTGTAATGGATTGATTGGATGATTCTAGCTCTCTTGACTCAGTACAGTTCTTGATTTGAAAATAACTTAATTACATAAGATGTGATGGTACTGTATAGGGTTGTCATGGTACTAAATTTCAATAGTCAATACCAGTAATTCTCAAATAGAATCAATTTCAATACCACAGAAAAAATAAATGTTACCAAACACACTTTATTTAAAAGAATAAACATAATAAAAAATATTAGCATTTTCAATTAAAACAGTGACATGTAATCAAGTGTCATTTTTAAAGTTTTTAAAAGTAATTTAAAAAACCTAGCTGCATTTTACCATGAAGTGTGATTGCTCTTTATTATAGTGGCATTTTAAAGCATCGTTTACAAAAGTGAGTTGGCACTTGGTACTACCAGTGCCATAGAAAATTATTTTTATTTTATATATATATATTATTCATTTTTATTTTTTCCCAAATATGGACTTTCTAAAGATACTTTTGGCATCCCTAGTGGCAAATGCATTGTGATTTATGATTTATTTGTTTTTAACAAACTGATTGTGTATATCCGTTTTTGTTTCATATAGACTTGACTGAAAATCAGGCACCTTGGGTGCTCTTTACTTCAGCACTCAGCACTTGATTCTGATGCTTTTCATGACTACCAACCTTGACCTGCCACACCTCAGGCTGTTCTTCCAGTTCATGTATTTTTACAAACCAGTTCAAGCCTTCCCAAAATAACAATGAAACGATTCATTTTCAGTCTGTCATTTTCCTCTCTTCCATATTTATTGAATAATTGGTTCATGTCATATTTATGTTTATAAGGGGCAGTTCAGCCTGCTAAGTGTGAACCCTGATTGGTTGGTGTGCATATTGATGGACTTAAGCTGTTTGATCCATTGGTGATATTTTTCTTTCATTTGGGGTAGTGCTTTGCTTTTAGGTGCAGTCTCATAGATCACTGGGGTTGGGTACACCCTTACAGGAATCTGTAGGTTTTTATTGAGGAAGACTTTTTTTTTTTTTTTTTTTTTTTTACAGTTTACAATTCTACAAAATAACGACAGTCCCTGTGAACTGGTGTAAAATTGGCCCAGAGAGGCTGTTGGGACTTTAATGCTTGTATTCCAAAAATAGGACTTGTATTTGAATTGTCTTAGAATTGGAATACACTCACAGCAGTTTTAGTTCAATACCTGAGCTAATCTGAATTTGGGAAACTATTACAATAGAACCACAATAAATCTGTCTTTTGGATCACTCTGGAGCCAAATATGTATATAATTAATATAGGGCACTGTGATATAGCCAAAACTGATATGTCAATCGCTTTTATTCATTTTTCCGTATTCAGTGTAGTATGTTTTTCCCCAATCCAAGGAAGCATCCTCTCAAGTAATAGTAATAAACAGCAGTATTTACATACCTAAACACTACCATCCAAAAGTTTGGAATCGGCTAGATTTAAAATGAATAAATAAAGACAGACATTCTCATTGTTAAAAACTTTCTGTTAGTCAAAGAATCCTGACAAAAGTATATTTTCCACAAAAATGTTAAGCATTACAACTGTTTTCAACATAGATAGTAATAAGAAATGTTTCTTGAGCATCAAATCACCATATTAGAATGATTTCTGAAGGATCATGAGCCACTCAAGACTGGAGTAAAGGCTGCTGAAAATTCAGCTTCACCATCACAGGAATGACTTACTTAAAATTATTTAAAAATTTTAATAATATGTGGTAATGTTACTGTTTTACTGTATTTTCAAAAGATTAAATAAATACAGCCTTGGTGAGCAATGTCTTTAAAAAAAACTTTTGAATGGTAGTTTATATAATCAGGGAAATCCTCGCAATTCATAAGTATGTCATTTATAGCCCTAAATTTATGTAATAATTGCCTACCTTTCAGCATTACAATGATACTAGCTTAATTATAAAAAAATTTAATACCTAATCCTGCATTCTACATGCTTATCTGTAGCGTGTCTCAAGTCTGTTCATACTTACGGCAGTTTTGTCTCTGGAGTTCGCCAGAGATTGATGCACCACAAAATCTCCAAATAGCCTGTTGGCACACAAGCATCATCAAGTGCTGTAATTTCTGTCAATTGCAATCAGTGTATCAGTTTGGCCATTTAAACCCAAGATTTGGATCCCTCCATCATTTCCATCAACATTTCCTAGAATCATTCCTGATTTATCTTCACCAGTGTTTCATACTGTGTCTCACACAAACATGCTTTTTCCTGAGTGGTTGGCAGTTGGAGCTTGGTGGGATCTCACAAGCTGCTCTCCTCCTCTCTCCATTCAAGGACTCTGCATCCACGGATGACATGTGGTAGCCCCACCCCTTTAAACACTGCACAGAGTTTACAACCCTCCAGAACCCTGCACAACAACCTTTCCTACAGGACCCAGCACCAGAACCCTGCACAAGAACCCTCAACTACTACAGAACCTGCACAAGAACCTACCACAGCCCAGCTCAGCTGCTCTGGACTGTTCGGAGGAAGAAGAGGCGGAAGAAGAGGAAGGGAATGAGGGCTCCCTCCCCTTGTTCACATAACGTTCCCTCTCAGTGCTAGGCAATGGTACCTTCTGGAAATTTTCTGCATACTCTTCTGTCCCGAATCACTCTTTTCCCAAATCCTTTTATCCTTAACATCACCCTCTTAAAAAAAAATCCAACACTTTTTTCCATTTAAATCTTTTTTTTTTTTTTGGTGTAATTAATTTGATTCACATTTCCTTGTGTGTTTGTATATTTCAGCTTTTATTTCTGTGAAGTGCAATTGTCTTGTACAAAGAAAAGCCTGTATCAAATGCAGCTTTAGTTTTAAGTTTATAAAAAAAGAAAAAAGGCACACCTTTATTGCCCTGCCTGCTTTTGTTTCCTTTCCAACCGCTGAAGCCCAACACATCTGCCTCTCATCTGCTTTCCTTTCACTTCTTTGTTTTTTTCCTTTTTTAAACAAAATATAACTTTTTGTATTGTTACTTTTTAAGTGAAACGGGTAAATGATATGGGCTCACAGCACAGTACAGTAAGCTTTTTTGTAAATCTCACAGCACGGATGACAGTAATCGTTATGTTCTCTCAGTACTACTGTTTTTCTTTTTCTGGTGGGGTGGGTCTTTTATTTTCGCCCTTTGTTTTTTTTCTTTTCAGAGGAAACCGCTTGAACTTAAACTAAGCTGAAATTGTGTGCGTGATTGTGTGTGAGAGAATGAGCGAGTCTTATGAGAAATCAAAGGTTTGTGTTGTGTGTGTGTGTGTGTGTGTGTGTAAGAAAGAGGATGCCTGTTTGATCCACCAAACTATTTCCATAGTGCAAATTTTGTGTGTGATTCTGTTACCTGATGCACCAACCCTGATTCTCTCTCTTATCATCAACACTAGGACTCTACAGTGTTCTGCACTACTGCAGCTTCTTGATTTGTTTTAAGTTGATCTAGGAGCATTTTAAAGGATTTCCTGCACTTGCTGAAAAAAAGTAATTGTTAAGAAGCACTCAGAACTGGGACAGGCCCTATGAAGTGCGTTTATGTGTGTGTTTGGTTGTTAGTGCATATGGTCTGAATGGATGTGTGAGATTGCATGTTTATTGTGCTTAAAATTATGTGGGTTTTAATGGGGATATTTAGGCTTTTGACACAAATATATAAGGCTTTAGCTGTAGTGCTCGATCACCCATCTGCACTGCTGAGAGAGTGATGAGTGAATGCTTTCTGAGATTAACACTCAACTCTGATTTTTCTTCTGCTTTAACCATTCGCTTCATCTCGTGTTGATTTGTTATGTTTTATGTTTCTCTTTTTTTTTTTTTTGGATGTGGTGATTTCTATCTCTCTCTCTCTCTCTTTTCAAAGAACAAATACAGTGTGATGCAGTGAGCTGGCCTGGTTTAGGCCAGAGCCTGCTTGTGTTCCTCTGACCAATAGGGAGCGCAACAGAGTACTGTTTGCTGCTAAAGTGTGTGATTGAATCATTCGTTCATTCATTTGAATGCTCTTAGTTAATATTCTCCCACACCTTTTCCCCCAATGCTGTATGTAACATAGTTCTGAATTAATTTAATTGTATTTTTTTCAGAGAGATTGTCACTTGTTCATTTGTCCTGGTTGTCTGAAACGTGACACGGTAAAATCACCCCCTTCGTCCTTACCTTCCCAAACTAAATTTTATGTATGGAGTAGATTATATGAACAGGAATTCCCTTGCATCTAATAAATATAAGTTAGCTTTTTAGGCTAATCCTGTGTATTTGCATACTGAAAAAAGGGTAGGTAAAAAGATCACTACTTTTGAGTCTTTTTCGTGAACCTCACAGGGTGATTTATTAAACTAATATTGTAACAAAATGACAATCTAACAGTGTATAGCTAATGTTAACGAAAAATCTCCCTGTATCCTCTATGCTTTCGGCTTGTGTTATAACATGGGCATAAAGATAGTTGTGTTTGTGTGTGGAATGGTGAGCTGTGTGTTTTCCCCAGTGGAAGCTGGAATGTTGTGTAATAGGAGATTCACGAAATGAATCTAAAATTAACAGGATATTTTAGGATGGTCTTAGAGGCCAGGATATGTTCATGTGTCTTTAAGCTTTTTTGGATTCGCAAAGCTACATGGAATCACTTTAGGAATGTAGACACGAGGAACGACGACTCTTAATAGGATTCTGTTGGCTTGCTTGACACTCAGTTTGGTCTTATACGAGCTTAAAAATCACTTGTATGAAAATTAACAAATTATGTGACTTGTTTTGAAAAAAGCATTTTGTTGTATGTGCAGTTTTGAGATTCTTGGACTGCTATTACACAGATTCTCCTCCTTCGTCTTCGTAAGACTTCCAGATGGTTTTTAGATGGGGGGGGGGGGGGGGGGGGGGGTGAAATGGTCATAAGCACAGGTCTATTAAGTGAGGAGAGGTTATGGCTTACAGTGAAACATACAAGCCCAGTTATAGATGATAGAGATGTTTTTGAATGTGTTTTTACTGTTGACAAGGGCATTTTGCAAGGAATTCAAATGACACATGAACTGTCGCATTTGTTAATTGCGCATAGATATTTTGCTAAATATGCGTCACAAACCGTGATGCGCCGTATTTTAGGTTTATGCTCTGAAATCCTATTTCCGTGGTCTCTAGCTCTGTAGTGTTAGCTCGGTAGCTCATTTCAGTTTAAATTATTCAGACTTGCCTTCTAATGTATAAACCAAGTGATTAATGCAGCCTTAATGCCTCCTGCAAAACCCCACCCCCAAACCCTTGGGCTTTACTAGTATATTACAGAGCTCTGTATGCAAACACACCACAATTTTGTGCTAAAGGGAACTAAATTTTATAGCACGGTGTGTAATTGTGGTTTGGCCTCACACGCTCTCAGACACACTTATGGTATTTTACTCTGGTGAAATCCCACCTCCTACCCCAACAGGATTATTTTAGCTGATTTCAGTCATCTGCTGTCCTCATAAGCTAAGCTATTTTTGTTAAACAATTGATATGTATATTTGTATTCATTTATAAATATGTACACAAAATGAAGTGAATAATCAAGGATAATCTCTCCTCCCTGTAACCCACTGTGACCCACTGGTTGTCCTCTAACTGTTCCACTGTCCATTTTTGTTGTTTTAATCTTTTCAGACTGGAAATAAACCTATTTTATTTGAAAAAAAAAAAAAAATTTTTTAAGGTGGATTTGGCCTCTTGTTTCGGAAGGGAGGGCCAATACAAAAATCAAGAAAGATGAAATTCAGTTTCAGATGTAGGAAAAGGTGCTCCAATTTATTTAAAATATACTGTTTATTTTCATTTTGGAGCAACAGAGACCCTAAATAGGAGTCATATAATGCTCACAGCATTTCGGTCACAGTGATATTTTCCCCTTACTTAGGAACCAGCTACGTGATTTGTTATAGCCTGACCACAGTGTCCTTGAAGTTATTAAAACACTTTTCATTTTAGAATTGAATGGCTGGTCTCTATTTAAGAGATTTTTCATTTACCATTCATATGTTGATGAATTTGTAATATGAGTATTGATGTCTCACTTTGACATCAGTCATAAAATGGGAAAGCAAATGTTCATCTTTTGTGCAAAATCTTTTGCACTTTACAGTGGTAAATTAAAAAGGGGGTTGGTAGTAGAAAGATGGGCGAGAACTCTTAAAGTTAGCTTTTTTTTAATTACGAAAGAGAGACACTTTTTTGCATTTCAGAAAAAGTAGTTTCGCTTCTCGGGCAAACTTTTAATTGTAGTCACTCTTATCACATTCAATGTTCCTATTTGGGTAATGTCAGTCCTTCTATTTTATAGATCTGAAAAGCTCTACTTTAACTATTTTGTCTTTAAGCAACCAGGTGGGGGCAGTGTGAGTTGGATAAAGGGAAGTGACTATGAAGTGGGGCCACTGTCAAAACCAGTTTAGAATGAAGAGACTATGAAGTGAAGCCACTGTTAAAACCAAAGTCAGTCAAGAACAGACTACTTAAAATTAAATGGCTACAGCAAAATGGAAATGGATTAATGTCTGATCCTCTCAAATCTAGTCTAAAGTATCCATAAATCTAACTCTGATAAAATGTCATTTTGCATGTGTACCAGTGAATGCTGCTAAGGTAGATATTGAGTGGTAAATGCAAACATTCACCTAGGATCTACAAGACCGAAGTGTATTTAAGAGATAGTTTACTCAAAAATGAAAATTCTTTCACCATTTACTCACCGTTATGTCATCCCAAATCTGTTTGACATTCTTTTTTCTTTTTTTTTCTGTGGAATGCTAAAGTTTTTTCAAACGGTTTGGTTTCCAAAATATCTTCATGTTCTGTAGAAAGAAGAAATTCATACAGGTTTGGAATAAGTACAGTAACGATGCAGCATGGCCTCAAGTGCCGTATTGCTTTTTTCCCAAAATGATTAAGCAGATGTAACGCGTTTTAACCGTTTTATTAAGCTAATTCATTAAGTCACTTTATTGACCAACCAGAATTCTAGAAAACAACTGTTTTAGATAGCAGGTTAAGGGCTTGTATGTTCAAATGTGAACTCTTTGACAGTTGGGGTTTGAAATCATAAATATTCTCTCAACATTCCATGATCTGACTGGAATATGTGACTTTTAAAGATTTTAAATCAATCACATGCTGAACGTTTAAGTGGTTACAGAGGAAAACCTGGGCATCTTACTCTAAACAACAGATGGTTTCAATCATTCTGAACGCAACAACCTTGCACAGAACAGGCACATGACAGTTGAAAACAAGTGTTGTAAATGTTTGATATCCTCAAACATAATCATAATCTAAAAATAATCATAGTCTATATACCCATCATACTCTACACAATTATCTGTGAAATCTGTCACTCAGACTGGGCAAAATTTGCAGACGGGCTCTGACGTTTGGCATCTAGTGTCTTTAAACCAGGCAATCTGTACATGTAGTGTCATGTGTGTAGTACTATGCTGAGAAGAGAAGTTTTCAATGCGTGTATACAGCATTTTTATTCAAAATATAATTATAGACAGCTGTAGATTGCAGAAAATGAAACCGCAATGATGACTATTCGCCATTCAGGTTTACAGCCTCCCTGTTTGGCACAACTGTGTGTTTTTCTCTCTTAGAGGACTTTTCAGGCCTGTTGACCCGATGCAGTCTGTCCTCTTATTGTTTTTCCTGTTATAATGTATGTTAGGACTGGGTTTTGACACACATTTCACAATTCGATTCGATTCTCATTCACAAGCTTTCGATTCGATTTAATATAGATTATTTTGGATATATATCAGGTACAGTACTTGCCAAATTTTCTCAAGGAAAAAAAAATCTCTCAACTAATGCTGTAAAATATACATGAGAGTCATTTGGTACTCCATTACTATAATATTGAAAGTTAAAATTGACTGATTTGTAAGCTATAGCCTACAACGGCTAAAATTACACTAGGTTACAATTACATAATAATATTTTTACTTCAATTCGTTTTTTTAAACATTTAAATGGTGGCTGTCATAAAAAAATCATAAATTGATGGATTTATTCAAACAGAAATTAAACATAAGAACAGTAAAAAATTATAATGAATATGTTATATTGTGCATATATTTAGCAAAATGCCCCTCTCTACAGTTAATTTTTCTGGCTGACTAATGAGTTTATGGTCACCGAATATGTTTGTTTCTGAGGTAAATGTGACGTTACGTGACATTGTTTACAAGACTTTAGGCTATTGACGTCTTTGCGCGGATGAAACACTGATTGAGCGATTACATGAGACAGGATACGGCTTGTAAAGTTGTACTCTTTCTTTTAACTTACCTTAGGATATTTAGTCATGTTTATGTTGTGCTGAAACTGGTATTAATATGGAGGAGATGATCAGTTCACGTGCGCCTCGCGCTGTTGCGTCTGTTGAACTGAGGCGCTGCAGGGTCGCCGTGATTTTGCCAAGTGTTCCTGGATCAACATCTTTTGTTGATCCTGGATCAACATTACAGTCCAAAAATACAGATTTAACCCAATCCCCATCCCTAAACCTAAATGTACCCATAATTTATTCCTAAAATCAGAGGGAAATTATAGCTGATTAACAAGGGTGTAGAAGCGCCTAATCCTGGTTGTAAACCTAAAACTGACATTTCCTGAAAAGTTATCTCTCAATTCTGATTGATTGATTGGAATGATGTTCCAGGATCAACAAGGATGTTGATCCAGGAACATGTTGTACTTGGTCAAATCACGCTCACCGGCGCTACAACGCCAAAACGCCATTTATTGTTTAAATACTGCAATACAATGGATGGACAGAATTTGAAATCTGAGACTTTGCTTCATATTCAAAGCACAATGCTTATTGCGATTTATTGGATGGGAGGTGCCCTTCAATGTTCTGTCCATTAACTGAAAACAGGCTAGACTAATCGATTATTGGGATTTAAGAATCGATATCGTTCCGTAAAAAAGAGAATCGATTAATATCGAGATATCGATCTTTTTTACCCAGCCCTACTGTATGTGCATGTGTATGTTTGCAAGGAAGAGTTGTATCCCTCTGCTGCAGCTGCACGGATTCATCACAGTCATACAAAACTGCTCAGCCAGCCGATAACAGACAGATAATATTGACTCTGCTATTACACTTCTGTTCTCTTTTGTATCTCTTCTTTCATATTCTCTCATGCTTCTCTCAACAGTTAGCATATCACTCTATTTTGCTGTACGCAGTGTGTGTATTTCTCTTTCTTCCTCTGTTATTCTCAGTCACTGAAGAGCACTGCTGTGTGAAACAATGTAGTGAAATTAGCTCTTTTTGTTTAAACCTTATTAAAAGCTCTTGGGTGTGTTTTTAACTTACTCTGTAGAGATTTGAGTTTTGGGAAGTACATTTCTCTTCCAGCCAGTGTTTTTTATTTGTATGTATTTGCTTTGACTGGGTGCTGAGTTTGTATTTGAACCCTTAGCATGCTCTGTTGTGCTCTTCTCAAAAGGGCATGTGCATTTCTGTAGTCAATTCTCTCTATTCTTCTCCTCCAGGATCCAGACATCCCTTTCTTCAGAGGTTTCAGCTAGATACAGCACAAGTCCTCTCTTCTTCTTTCTCCTTTTCTCCTTACTTCTCTCCTTTGGTCTGTTTATGCCTTTAAGACTTATGCTTTTTAGAGATGATAACTTTAGAAGATCTCGAGAATGAGCATCCTGTTGTTTAGCACTTGCAGAGGTAGTTTTGCATCTCTGTGATGGTTGTTTTTAGAATATTGCTTAATTTTAGTCTCGCTGAATATATCATATTCTTTCAGGAAGATATACAAATATATGTGACCCTGGACCACAAAACCAGTCATAAGGGTCTTTTTTTTAAGCTG